GATGACAACATTGAGCCTACACATGAAATAATTCTGTCGAATAGATGAGTGACAGTAAATTATGTGGCTTTGGTCCCCTGAAAGCAGCTCTACAAGGACAAAGATTCACCTCTGATGAAAAAGTGAAGACAGAGGTGCATTTGTGGCTCATAGCTCAGCCTAAAACATTTTTTTAATGAGTGAATACGAAAGCTTGTTGACAGAAAGATAAAGTGTATTGAAAAGCAAGTAGATTATGTCCAAGAATAATGTATTTGTCTTTTCTAAAAGATGATTAAAATAAATTCTACTGCCAGAGTGCGGATAATTTTTGACTCACCCTCGTATATATTAGCCTTTCTGCATCTTATATAACTACAAATGATAAACATGGGGATATCCAGTCTCTTCTAAATGTGTGCTGAGAAGGGAATAACTTGCACATGTTCCAGGTGGCTTTAAAAAATATCTAGTGGTAAGGTTTTTGTTTCAGACATACCTACTATATAAAAAAATAAGAAAAACGTGTTGGCTATAGATTAGGGGCATACCTAGAAATCACAGGGCCCCATAGCAAAATTTTGTATGGGACCCCGTGATTCCTAGTTATGCCAATTGCAGAACCCACCTGATATACCAAACAGCCCACCTGAGAGTGACCCTGCAGAGCCCACCATAGACTCTCTATAGTGGGCTCTGCAGGGTCTCAGATGGGCTGCACACCTCTTACCTGTCAGCGCTGTCCACCTCTGTGGTCGCTGGGCCCCACCTCCTCTTCCCTCCCCGGGCCCCGCCTCCTCTTCTATCGACGGGCCCCACCTGCTCTTAGCTTGCTGGCCAGTAATGTAAGAGGAGGCGGGGTTGCTCTTAGGCGGGCCCCACCTCCTCCTTCACTGAGGATGCCGACCTCTTCTGCCGCAGCTGCTGGCTGTCACTGACACAGCACCGTAGCGGCTGTGAGGGGAAATCAGTGATCTTCACAGCCGCTGCTGAGCTGTGACAGCCAGCACCCTTACGTGCCATAGGGACCCAGGCGGCCCACACGGCATCAGAGGGATGCATTAGCCAGGCCCCCCTGTGTCCGGGCCCCAGAGCAGCTGCCTGGGTCGCTGTGGCGATTGTTAGGCCACTGCTATAGATACATGCTAAGCAAGGACAATCCTTTCCTTTTGGTGGATAGCAAAAAAAACTAAATCCTTCAATTCATTCACAATGGTGAAAACAGTGAGCTTTTGTCCACATGCAGGGCTGGATCTTCCAAATGGAAACCTAGGCATGAGCCCAGGACCCAGTGCATGTCCGAGAGACCCAGCTACAATTTTTATATTCCTGCAGTCAACCATAGGCATAATGAATTGGTCAGAGCTGTGCATCTTCTTGTCACTTTGCAAGGGAGGATACACTAGTTGGCAGTTGGAGTCTGATGGTGGTGCATGCCACGTCAGTACAGACAATGGAAATGAGGTGGCTTTCCTCTGCATATTACCATCCTTCTCAATGTCAATTGAAGGGATGGTGGTGGTGGTGGTGGGAGGGGGCGGGGGGGAGGGTTCGCTGCTACTTCGCCCTCGGGCCCATATCTGCCTTAATCCGTCCATGTCTCTACCATACAAAATAATTTGTTTCATTGGAAAAATGAACCCTGTTTGTGGACACTGTGTCCAGTTTTGCTTCATCTTTAATAAATCATTCCATATGATTACATACTTTGCATGATAATATAATAAATACTTACTTTAGATGGTGACAGTTTTACTATAAATATTGATATCCACTATTTCTAACTTACTATGGAACACATGTCTCCTTTATCAGCCATACTCTATTTCATCCTTGCTTGTCAACTGCTTATGCCATTCTATTCCTTTATGGTGCAGAGCATTGCATGTAGAAAATGTAAGTTGGCAGGTACATTATATATTACTTCCATCTCAATGCTGAATTTCTACACTTACTCCTGCCCTCCCCAACACTGAAACAATCATCATTATTATATCAGTTACTGCCAGTTCACAAATGAACTCAAGTACTTAAATTCATTTTTATTTATTTGTTGTTTCCAATTTAATAACATCTACAATGGAGAGATCAATTGCATTGGTGCTGGGTGATTTATTAGCCTGGCTGTAGATCATTCATTGAACAGCTATTTCTTATTGTGCAGTTAAAACTTCAATCTCTACTTAAAACATTACTTTCCCAGCCTTCTTCTTACCTAACCTCACATACTGTGAGTAAACTTTTTGAGCTATTTTTGCAACATTTATCTAAAAAGATTCTTAAAATGGCATTCACATTTTATTTGCTCACTGTTGTATTTTGTCCTGATAGCAATTCATCTACAGAATTATAGAATCACCTTCTCCTTCCTGCCTGTATATCAGGCAAAGCAATGATAATTTCTGCATTGATATATAATTTTTAAAATTGCAGGAAGGCTCACTGAAATTCTTTGTTTGTAGTAACTTTTAGCTAGCTGCAATACAGCTAATAAGCCAGAAAAACAACCTGTATACAAAATGAGCAAATGTATATATATATAT